CTCCTGTGTGGTCTGCCGTGCTCCTGTGGTCTGCCGTGCTCATTTGGGGTTTCCCGCGAGCTTGTGGGGTCTGCCGTGCTCCTGTGGGGGAAACGCCAGCGGCGTTCGGGGTACAACAAAAAGGCGCGTTTATGTTGTACCTGCGCGCGGTCTGCCGTGCTCCTGTGGGGATTGCCGTGCTCCTGTGTGGTCTGCCGTGTTCCTGTGTGGTTTGCCGTGCTCCTGTGGTCTGCCGTGCTCCTTTGTGGTTTGCCGTGTTCCTGTGGGGTCTGCCGTGCTCCTGTGGGGTCTGCCGTGCTCCTGTGAGGTCTGCTGTGCTCTTGTGTGGTCTGCAGTGCTTCTGTGGTCTGCCGTGCTCATTTGGGATCTGCCGTGCTCGTGTGGTGTCTGCCGTGCTCCTGCGGGATCTGCTGTGCTCCTTGTGTCGTCGCTTTGGTCTGCCGTGCTCCTTTGTGGTCTGCCGTGCTCTTGTGGGGTCTGCCGTGCTCCTGTGTGGTCTGCCGTGCTCCTTTTTTTCCGCCTGCCGTGCTCCTGCTCATTTTCTGAGGACGTCCCGAGCGAAAACGTCATTTTTAACATAAGAGGTTGTAAAACACCTCTGTCGGCATCTCATTTTTTCGATGATGTCTCGAGCGAAACGCTCATTTTTCATGCATAACAAAAATTTTTGATATTTTTCAACATCCCGATGTTTTGAGGATGTCTCGAGCGAAACCGTCATTTTTTACATAAGACGTCTTAAACGATAGCCTCGAACACCTCGATTTTTCGAGGATGTCTCGAGCGAAACGGCCATTTTGGGGAACCTGACCGGACAAGAACGGGAAGCGCCATTTTTTATCCACCACGTGCGTCAGAGACCGTATTGGCGAGAACGTCAGAGAAACCCATAAACGCAACAGAACAGACTAAATGGTGGCCTGCCGCGCTGGTCTGTCGAGGTAGTCTGCTGCCCTGGCCACAACATGGTGTCGACACCGTGCTTTTCTCTCGGCCACGCGGGCCCCCACCCGTTGTCGCCCAGCCTACTTTTTTCTGTTCCAGCCTGTCTTGTCTTTTGTTTGTCCGTCGTCGTCGTCGCGTGCCTTTCCTTTGTCGTGGCCGTCGTTTTCATTATAATCGTCCGCTGTTGCCGTTCTCGCTGTCGCCGTCGTTATCATTTTATGATTGCGGTCGTTTTTCGGATTGTTTTTTTGTTGTTGGATTCCGTGTTCGGTTGGTTTTTGTGTTATGTTTGTGGTCGTTTTCTGTCATCGTTTTTTGTCGTAATTTTCGATATCGATATTGACGAAGACGACGACGACGATGACGACGACGACGATCTGCCGTGCTTCTGTGGCGTCTGCGGTGCTCCTGTGGTCTGCCGTGCTCCTTCTTGGTTTGCCGTGTTCCTGTGTGGTCTGCCGTGCTCCTGTGCGGTCTTCCGTGCTCCTGTGGTCTGCCGTGTTCCTGTGGGGTCTGCCGTGCTCCTGTGGAGTTTGCCGTGCGAACGTGTGGTCTGCCGTGCTCCTGTGTGGTCTGGCGTGCTCCTGTATGGTCTGCCGTGCTCTTGTGTGGTTTGCCGTGCTCCTGCGTGGTCTGCCCTGCTCCCGTGGGGTCTGCCGTGTCCTGTGTGGTCTGCCGTGCTCCTGTGTGGTCTGCCGTGCTCCTGTGTGGTCTGCCGTGCTCCTTCTTGGTCTGCCGTGCTCATGTGCGGTCTGCCGTGCTCCTGTGCGGTCTGCCGTGCGAACGTGTGGACTGCCGTGCTCATTTGGGGTCTGCCTTGCGCCTTTGTGGTTTGCCGCGCTCCTGTGTGGTCTGCCGTGCTCCTGTGTGGTCAGCAGACCCAGGGCTGAGGGAAGGCTGGAGCAGTGCTCTGGTGGTCCTTCACCCGCCCAGCTCCGTCCCCTCCACTCTGGACCGATCTTGCGGGAAGCTGGCTTGTGGCAGCGCATCGCGCGTCGGCCGCCAGCCCAGGTGCCGGCCCGGGCGTTCGGTTCGAGCGCCGGCCTGGGTGCCGGAATCGGCCCGGAAGGGGTTTCCAGGGCGCCGGGAGCAGAAAATCAATATTTTCGAAAGAAAAATATGTCTTGGAGTGGCCTTTTTTCCGCACCGCCTCGGAATTCAATTTTCCGGCGCCGGCCGGCGCCGGAACCGGCCCGGGCGCTGGCCTGGGTGCTGGCCCAGGCGTTCGGCTCGAGCGCCGGCCCGGGTGCCGGAAGCGGCCCGGAAGGGGTTCCCGGGCGCCGGGAGCAGAAAATCAATATTTTCGAAAGAAAAATATGTCTTGGAGTGGCCTTTTTTCGGCACCGCCTCGGAATTCAATTGTCCGGCGCCGGCCGGCGCCGGAACCGGCCCGGGCGCTGGCCCGGGTGCTGGCCCAAGCGTTCGGCTCGAGCGCCGGCCCGGGTGCCGGAAGCGGCCCGGAAGGGGTTCCCGGGCGCCGGGAGCAGAAAATCAATATTTTCGAAAGAAAAATATGTCTTGGAGTGGCCTTTTTTCCGCACCGCCTCGGAAATCAATTTTCCGGCGCCGGCCGGCGCCGGAACCGGCCCGGGCGCTGGCCCGGGTGCTGGCCCAGGCGTTCGGCTCGAGCGCCGGCCCGGGTGCCGGAAGCGGCCCGGAAGGGGTTCCCGGGCGCCTGGAGCAGAAAATCAATATTTTCGAAAGAAAATTATGTCTTGGAGTGGCCTTTTTTCGGCACCGCCTCGGAATTCAATTTTCCGGCGCCGGCCGGCGCCGGAACCGGCCCAGGCTGCCGTGCTCCTGTGTGGTCAGCCGTGCTCCTGAGGCGTCTACGGTGCTCTATTGGGGTCTGCCGTACTCATTTGGGGTCTGCCGTGCTCCTGTGGTCGGCCGTGCTCATTTGGGGTCTGCCGCGCGCCTGTGAGATCTGCCGTGCTCCTGTTGGGGAAACGCCAGCGGCGTTCGGTGTACAACAAAAAGGCGCGTTTATGTTGTACCCGCGCGCGGTCTGCCGTGCTCCTGTGGGTTCCGCCGTGCTCCTGTGGCGTCTGCCGTGCTCCTGTGGCGTCTGCCGGGCTCCTGTGTGGTCTGCCGTGCGCCTTTGTGGTCTGCCGTGCTCCTGTGGAGTCTGCCGTGCTCCTGTGTGGTCTGCCGTGCTCTTGTGGTCTGCCGTGCTCATTTGGGATTTGCCGTGCTCATGTGGGGTCTGCCGTACTCCTGTGTGGTCTGCCGTGCTCCGGTGGTCTGCCGTGCTCCTTTGGGGTATGCCTTGCTACTGTGGGGTCTGCCGTGCTCCTGTGTGGTCTGCCGTGCTCCTGTGGTTTGCCTTGCTCCTGTGTGGTCTGCCGTGCTCATTTTGGGTCTGCTCTG